CTAACTTCCAAAATAACTATGCCTCTTGACCGGCTGCATACAGACTTCCTACCTAGCTTCGAGGAGCCATGCTAATAGCCCCTTCTCGAGGTCTACACAACTTCAAATGGTTAGGACTGGCTCCCTGACAGAGCCCTGGAGTTCTGCCAAGTTCACTGCTACTGAAGCTTTGCTTGCGACAGCCAGACAGTTCAATGGAGCTGAGTTAAAGAGCAGGTGTGGATGGGGGGAAGAGATCTAAGGAACTGCGGGAAGGGCGAGCTCAAGTGGGGTGACTGGCAAGAATGGCCCGAAAAAGGGAGGCCTTTCAGGCAACACACGGCAGCCATTAATAGCCAGGAAACAGAGGCAGCGGCGCAGGCAGATCAGGTTAGGGGGCTGTGATTTGAGTAAGGGCAGTTCAAGAAAACAGTCACACAGTACTACCAAACGAGGCCTTGTAAACAGTGCCCTGGCCACAGCTGTGAACCAGAGAAAAGGATCCAGGCATCCTTGACGTGTCAAGGTACTGGCTCCTTTGCTTTTTTTCTAGCCACACTCAACCCACAAGAATAGCACTATCCGTGAGTAGCAAGGTCTTCCAACAGACAATGAAATGCATCTGTCTACTGAGAAACATTCCCACACACCTGTTTATATATACACCCATATCTACAGTCACTGGTTGCTCTTCTCACCTTGTGGTTGTTATCTGGACCAGTTACTAAGGCATTATCTTTCAACTGGCTTTGCATGGGGAAGTGGGGAAATATAACTACTCTACACACACAACTCAGGAAAATCGAAGTTTGAGAGTTACTGAGTTATTACTTGGGACGTTACAATTCCGTTTTGCAGGTCACATCTCCAAAGAGAAGGGAATGATTTTACATAATAAAATTTTCTGAGACCTGAAAATAACACCTCTACGTTTATATAGTGGCTTCCTTAGAGAAGCACATTCTTTAAAAAAACAAAAACAAAAACCTGAGATTCTACATCCTTAGCCTTTCTTTCTTCCAAGAGATGGCTGTTCCAGGAAAACATCTGAAGGTTTCCTGCCTCTGCAACTTTGCTCACATCACATTCCCTACACCTGAAATCTACCCCCCTTCCCTTAATCAGTCTTCTACTTGTTGAAATCCTATTTAACTCTCAAGGCCTACCTCAAATGCTATTTCCTAAATGAAACTCTCATGATCTTTTCTCCTTGGAACTCTAACACCCTGCTTGTACTACTTCCATCCATTAATCACCTTCTCTTTTGTAATTTATCTTGATGCCATGTTGCCTACTAGACTGGCTCCTGGAGAATAAGGAGCATGCACTATTTCTGCTTCTATCTTCCTACTTCAAAGCCCTGCACACATGAATGATTGTGGGATGGCTGATATAAGCCATTGACAGTAGACTAGTCAGTGCATGCTGTTCTTATTTGCTAACCACATTTCTATACTACTTCTTCAAAATGATTCAGGGCCTTACAACAACAAATGCTATCATATTTAGAATGGGGGGACGGGGCAGTGGGAAAGTGAAGGAAGGAGCAATTGACACCTAATTAAGGTCGATGGCCATCCCTAAGCTCTGCTGGGGCCTCTCCCATTTGGCTGAAGATAAGCGACAAATGATCCAGTGAATGAACTGCTTGTTGCCTGACTAACCTTGGGCCTTAAGTGCTGGGCTGCTTACAACCTGGAGTTTGGGCCGTCCTTGTTTCCAACCTTAGGAATATTACTTGGGAAAGGGGGCGGGGAAGACAATTGATAACAGAAGGCTAACTAACCTTGGGTGCTGCCTATAACAGCAGCTGACATTCATGTGAGCACCTGAAGGTTTTCAAAGAATTTTCTTGTCTGATTCTTATGACAACTTTTTGAGGTATGTTTTATTATTATCTCCATTCTATGGATAAGGAAAGTTGAGGCCCAGAGAGATTAAATGACCTGCTATGGTCATATTACTATTAAGTATTAAGAGGCAAGACTCTCCTAACCCTTGTATATGGTGATAGGCTAGGGAGAAAACAGAGTCATTATCTGGGAGAATGGAAATAGAGATAATTTAATAGTGAACCAGCAAGTCTGGCTAACTAACTCTTGGTCCAGCATTCTTTCTACTTGGCAGGTAGGTGGAGCAGTGGATAGAGAGCTGGGCCTAGAATCAGGAAGACCTGAGTTCAAATCTAGCAGAAGATACCTACTAGTTGTGTGACCCTGATTAAGTCATTTAACCTCTATTTGGCTCAGTTTCCTCAACTGTTAAATGGGGATAGGAATAGCACCTACTTCCTAGTGTTGTTGTGGGAATCAAATAAAAAAAATTTGTAAAGTGTTTAGCCTGGCACATAGTAGACACTACTTATGCTTATTCACTAAATCATATTGTCTTTGTGCCTATCAGCCTCTTGTTGCCCAGGGCCCTCTCCTAGGGCTCGCCCTGGGAAGACCTGCTGATTCACTACTAAGCTATCCCTATCTCCATCCTTCCAGATAATGGCTCAGTCTTCTTCCCAGCCTTCCATCATACAGGAAGTATGGGTCTTTTTTTTCTGTTTTTGTGAGGCAATTGGGGTTAAGTGACTTTCCCAGGGTCACATAAGCTAGTGAGTATCATGTGTCTGAGGCGGATTTGAACTCAGGTCCTCCTGACTCCAGGGCTAGTGCTCTATCCACTGTACCATCTAGTTGCCCCAGGAAGTATGGGTCTTAAAACAGATGTGAACCCGAATGAACAGCAGTAATGAGGAGCTGACTAGTAGTTAGACAGTCAATACAGTTTCAAAAGGAAACATGAGGGTTTTTTTGTTTTGTTTTGTTTCGTTTTAAATGCTTACCCTTTTACAACAAACAAGGCCAAGGAGACAATGTAAAAGCATTTTCTTCACAAATCCACAGCTTTCTGGGCAATAGTAGTGAAACAGGAAAAGCCAGTAGTCAGGAGAACTGAACCTCATTTAGTTGTTATGATGTAGATGTTCAAAAACAACTGACAAGTCACATGGTTATCTTCCACAAATCAAGATCCCTCTCTCTAGTTTCTGCTTTTCTTTTTTAAAAGTAGCTGCCACAGATACAATAATGAAGGTTTGTGATCAAAGTCACCAGGTTCATGGTTACAGATGAATAACCCAGTCACACCCATAGGGTCATCCTTTCCTTTCTTTAAACTTCTCCTTAACAGCTTGATTCTCAAAAGGAATTTTGCTGCTGTGATCAAAGGTAAGCACAGACAAGTCATGGAGAAGGATCCTTCTGGTTACCACTCGATAAGTTAGGCAACTGAATTTATATGCCACTGTAGTATCTATAACTTGGAACTGCAACCCTGAGATTTACTTTTCTTGAACCATAAGCTTTGGATGGAGAATTTCCATTTCTCCATAATTTCAAGTGTAGGTTGAAAGATGGGTTGGCTAACGTCTATCTGCTTACTGGGCAGATTCCAGCATCAGCACAATGCAAATAGAGAAGAAAAATTGGAGGTGTCTTTAAAAGGAGATTACAAAATAAGGACAACATTAACTCCAAGGCATGGTAACAACTCCTGAGTAAACTCCTAAATTCCTAGATTCATTTCAAAAGTAATGGAGAGAAAAGATTGAGTCAAGTTTCCTAAAACTGCAAAGGACATGTCTTGTAAGTGACTGACAATACTCACAACAGGGGAAGTTGTAAATAAAGTACACCTGCATTAACGACATGCACTATACTTGGGTGTGGACCAAGATGAAGACTTGTTTGCAATCGAATAGTTTCCACATTCTTCGGACCTGTGGGCCACTGAAACTTTCGAGAGCCACTCTCTTCTAATGAGTTGTGCAGGTGGGTAGGGTGGTCAGTGCAGTCTGACAAAAGCCAATACTTCCAAAAGAAGAGCTCCTGATTGGTCAGGTGTACCAAAGGTACCTTGCTGGAGATCCACGGAGCTCCTAGTTTTGAATTGGTGTTATTTTTTCTTTAAGTGGGGCTCCTAATTTTGAATGTTGGTTTTTTTTTTTTAATGAGGTTTTATATTGTATCGTATTGCTTGTGCCAACCTCAGGTTGAGAAGGAAGTGGCTGGCCACCTGTCCCCAGAAGTTCTGAGTCTGGAGAGCAGGCAGAGTGGGATCAACCTCATGAAGGATGATTTTTCCAGGATCCAATGAAGCTTTGTTTAATTAACACAATTCTTCATTCAAAGGTCAGAAGATCTTCCTGAGACTACAAATCTGATCCATAGAGATCTCTTCTCATGCCTGATGAGTAAGATCTATTCTAGCCCCATCGGATAGGGCCAGAGAAACTGGGAAAGGGTAACAGGAAGAAATTTTCACTAGAAAGAAAGGAGCTTCCCTTAAGACCTGGTACTTCTAAAGTGTCAACAGGGGTTGAACAAAGGAATAGTGTTGCTGGGAGATGTCTCCAGTGCTCCAGTTTTTCATAATCAGGAAGGGATGGAGAGGGGGTGCACTTGGCAACCCCCAAATGCCAGGAAGAGTGCTTTAGGGTATTTATTTTTAGGTTCTTATTGACCCCTGTGGTTGCAACCAAGTGATTCTCTTCCCAGGAATGCTCTCCACCTCATCTCCAAGAGTCTGTTGCTGCAAAGTAAGGGCCATGCTGGTCCTGGTGAGAGGGTGATTTCTGAGAGTGTGCACTGCCTAAGGCTCACGTGCTCATCCATCCCCAGGTAGTCTCTGATCAGAGACCCCATACTCATAGGATTTTCCTTTCAGGAGAAAGAAATACTCACAATAGTTCATCGGACGGTCTATTTCACTTCCCCCACACTAACTGGTAAGCATCCAGATCTTCCTTAAGACTTAAGACATACATATGTATGCATACATAATGTAGATGAAAGCAAGTCCATATGCCTACGCATTTTAGAAAGTAAGAAGTCTTCATGGGAAGTTGTTGGTGTTTCGGTTTTTTGTTTTTTTTTTTTAGCATTAGATTCTCCTAGAGTCTGGCACATAAATGAGAAGGTTAAGTTGACAAGTCTATGGTGCTGTATGCTATAGAAATATCTACTCACAACCTGCTTGTATCTCAGGGGGAGTATTCAAAAGCATCATGGCAGTGGCAGCATCAATGTCAGGATCTGGAAAAATCAACCAATAAATACATTATTTACAACGGGGCCAATTTGTGTGTGTGTTTTTCCCCCTGTAAGTTATTGTTTACTGAATGTAACAGTGAAAAGAGCTAGGAAATAGAGGAGATATCCCAAGCGTGTCCTCCATCCCTTTTTTGCATTTGGGGATAGAAAAAGGCTATTCTTGAGTTGGAATTCAAAGGATCCCTAGGCTTCAATTAAAAAGACATTTAAAAAAAAAAGAGAGAGAGACTTCTGCTTTGGCAAAGAGGGCTCCTTTTCACTGCATTCATTTCATAGCTTGCATTGTATTTTCCTGAGAAGTAATCTGTGCCACTTGCCTGGCACCCCCCTTCTCCCCTGGAAAAAACAAAAACAAAACAAGGAAAGGTCTAGCCATTTTCTTGTAGCTCAGGGAAAAAATTAAGCACACCTGCATCTGGGGTGGGGGGATACAAACATGACATTTGGTCATTTCTACTCATTAGCAGAATTTAAATGGTCACTTCTGAGACTGTGCGTGCATAGTGGTGGCAGAGCTTCTATATATTTTTTGGAAATATAAAGTTCCCTTCCTGAGGGCACCATCGCTTGCTACAAAATCTATTGCTGCTCTTTAATAAGAGAGGGAAAAAAAAAGAAGTCATCACATCACTGCCGTTATTCTTAATAGGTTTCTGAATCCATACTGATCCGCCAGTTGACAGATGGCAGGTTATAGAGACAGAGAAAAATATTATCCTTTTATAACTAAATTCACTTTCCTCTGAGAAGCAGCAAAGGCCGCTGCTATGGAAATAAAGGTTACCATAGCAACAGTAAACAACCCTCAAGAATGGCCACTGAATACACTGAAAAGAACATCTGCCCCAGCACAGTGTCCCAGCTGCCCTGGGGCGAAACTTGCTAATAGTGCAGTGATGCCCTGTGACAGGAGCCGCTGCCCGTACCCTGTCCAAATAAATGAAGTGTGCAATTGAAGCCGACATCAAAATGCCTGCCTTTGCAGATTACCGCCTCTGTGCCTCCAAACTGAATGACTAATGATTTGGGGGGTGGGGGGAGTTGTTATTTGTCAGTTTTTGTACTAGATTACATACCAAAAAATTCAATTTACTGTGAATAGCTCCATGGCACTTTATTTGGGGTATTATGTTGGAAAATTACTTTTTACTGTTTAAAAAAAAAAGTACATTTTTCATGCTTTAGATGTGCCGTTTAATTTCCAGGGGGATAATGTGATCCAGTAGAAAACCCCACAAGCTATTAATAATGTGCAGTATGCTGGCTATAAAGGACACTGTCCTCCCTCCTTCCCCTCCCCCCCAAGGTAAACTAACTATACTTTGAAGTACTTTTTGCCTATGGGAGGCCAGTTGCACACAATCCCGAATGGAGTGAGGGCTTAACTTTAATGAATACCTCCTACAAGAAACAGGTAAAACAATTTGTTCAGCAACCTGTAATAATGAATTCCTGAAACAGCAAACTTATGGTGCTAAGAACCTGGTAGATGCTCAACAAATAATTCTTAACTGAATAACTAAAAACTGATGTGTAACAGCCATCCCAGGATTCTTGCCATTACTAACATGGTTCCCGACTTACACAGGTGGCCAACATAGAGACCAACAGGTGTTGATCTGCAGATTTTCCCATGGTCTTGTTGTCAAGATTTGCTAGAGTACTTTTGAAGAAGTAGGATTTTGTGAACTCAAGTTCACACAGGCATTTTGGAAGGTGTGAAGAATGATTCATAGGTTATGGCATATTAACAAAAGATTTTTTTTTCCTTCTCACATACCAAATAGCCTAAAAATGCTTTTCCCAGCTTGTCCCTTTTTGTGATAGTAGCTACTAAAATGATTTCTTTTTTCATCAAGTTCTTGTGCCATCACTGGAGAATGGTAACAGCTAAAGTAAATTCGTGGTTGCCCTGCTAGGTGGTTTCAAATTAGTTACCTAGAGTGCTTCGACTTCAGAGTCAGTACAAAAAGATTTGCAGGAAGTAAAACAAATGGAATCCAAAAGTGGCTAGAGATCTTTTTTTTTTTAATGGAGTTCTCAAGAAAACGTCGGTGAAATATTTCTGTTTTCCTTCAGAAGGCATATTTGGACATTGGAGAGCACCGGGAAAGGTAGTTATTTTCATATGAAAAAAAAAAAAGAAAAGTGAATGAAAGGAGAGCACACAACCATCCACACTCAAAAGGACTCACAACAAATGAAACAGAATACCCTTCAGTTTCTAGTCTGAGTACAGACAACCAAGCTTTTCATGATTTCCACTGAGGCCCATTTCATTACCCTCTGAGGACTGAGAGCTGGGGCAGCAGAAACCCAGAAGATCAAGCCCTTTGTAGTTTTATAGGGTGAGGGTATTCAGGAGCCTTGACAACATGGCGGAAGTGATGCAGGATTTTGCTCTGTTTGGCTTTGGAGGTGATGCACTTAAGCCCTGAAAAACTGGACTCCAGAATTGAACTGTATATATTTTACCATATTAAGTCAATTCACACAGAGGAGTAAATGAGAACTGGAACAGCAAGTGACAAATCCTTTTCTGAGGTGAGGGCAGTGGTGTCTTAACTTCTTTCTAATTGATTAGTGCAGTGACTATAATGAGTAGGCCTAGACTTAACAAAAGACAAGAAAGAGAAGTTTAGAGTCATAAACCAAATATTTTTCTAAATCTAATATGTTAAAATCTGCTTTGCGGTTACATATTTATTTTCTACAGTCACATTCTATAACATGAGGATAGTAAGAGCACCTCCTGGGTTGTTGTGAGGATAAAATGAGTTATTTGTAAAGCACTTTGTAAACCTTTAAGTACTATATAAATGTCAGCTGCTGTTGCTACTGCTACTATTACTATCATTACCATTACCACCACCGCTAACTCTTTTTAGCACCAAACACCCATATTGCAAACTTGAGCAGACAATTATTCTAAATCTAACCCAAGTCTTCTAGCCCATCATTTAGGTCTTCTAACATAATTAACTCATTGGCCACTTTTTGATATTCTGTTCACCTTTTTAAAATCCTATTTCATTTCTTACAAGTCTTTATTTTATTTTATTTTTTTGATGAGGCAATTGGGGTTAAGTGACTTGCCCAGGGTCACACAGCTGGTAAGTATCAAGTGATCAAGTGTCTGAAGTTGGCTTTAAACTCAGGTCTCCTGACTCCAGAGCCAGTGCTCTATCCAGTGTGCCACCTAGCTGCCCCATTATAAGGCTTTAAAAGAAACAAATTCTATCAGCTAACTTGGCCCTTCTCCTAAGTTAGCAAAACATCTCAGATTTTTCTACTCTATCTGAAGTTTGCTAAAACTATCCTTGCGTAATCGTGATTGCTCCTGTCTGTTTTAGTTCCTGGAGGACAGAAATTTTTTCCCTCTTTTACTTTGCAATTTTACCCCTGATCAAATCTGCCAAACAAGTCTACTTGCTATCTCTACCACAGAACACAGTAAATGAATAAGTAATTAAGTATCCTTCTCACTTTTCTCTCCCTATCTGAATCTCGCCCATCCTTTAAAGTCCATTGTAGGAACCACCTCCTAAATGAAGCCTGCCCTGACTTGGGTAGCCCACAATGCTCTTTGCTTCCTCTGAACTCAGGAACACTTCCCAACTATACCAATCAGGTCACCTGTCACACAGTGCTTTGTATCATTAGTTATTAATATGTAACAACCTGACTCACATTCACTGGGTGTTAAAGGTTTTTCGAAGTGCTTTGAAGGGCTGTGATAACCCCCATATAACAGATGAAGAACTGTGAGGCTCAAAGTTTAGTGATTTGTCCATGATCACACAAGTGGTAGGGTTTGAATTCAGGCGGCATTACGTTGGACATTGGTCCAAACCCGCAACACTGAAACAGAGATGGAGTCTTAAATTGGCAAGAAAGACAAAGGGATAGGGTTGGGATAAAATGATATGCCACCACCCTTGAGTTCTACTTTCTCCCTTTCAGTGTTTGTTGACAATTCATTAAAAGAGAAAGAGAGATAGTGGAGATAATTAGCAGAGGGAATGAAGTAGGAAATGGAAGATGAGATTCACCGCAGGAGATGATGTTATCCTTTACATGGCAAAAACTGGAGATGTTCTCATCCATGGGGACTAGAAAGAAACTGACCCTTCTGAGGTCAGTGGCCAAGCACTATGATTTGATCATAAATGATGAGATTAAAGAAATTAAAGAGTCATAAATTTGATTCTAATTTGTGAAATAAAAAATCTATCATATGGGACATGGAGATAGGAAGATCCAAGACAGAATAGGTGCTTTAACAAAGTGACCTTTAATCTTGAAAAAAAAATATACACTACTCCCTTCCCCCCAGCCTAAAAACCTTTCTGTTCTGAAGAAATTGAGCAAATCAAAATATTTTGTCTGGAAAGATAAGATGAGAAGATAAGCTAACTTGTACTTTCCTTTTATGTAATAGTATGTCCTCTATGCACAACCAGAGATTCTCTCTCTCGGTATACAGAGGGACTCTAAAAAAAGTTCAAAAAACCAAAAAACAGTTCTTCACCACAGTGTTAATTTCCAAAGTCCAGGTTAGATTTACATCATCACCTTGGTGAGTACAAGTATTCCTACCAGCTAAGAAGTTGCATGGGAAAAGCAATTTCCTACGAATTCTGTCTTTCCTTATCCCTGAAAAGCCCAATTCTTTCTACTTCATGCGGGAAGGGACACCTCCAATACTTAAAAGATAATGTAGTACAGTAGGAAAAGCTATGGAAGTAGATACCAGAGGATGTGGTTGCTGCTCAGCTCTTCTAATGAGGAGCTTTCAGACCAGGCAGTTGGTGGTGTAAGTGGACTGAATTCTAGGTTTGGAGTAAGACCTGAGTTTAAATCCTGCTATCTATGTGAACCTAGACCAGGGGTGGGGAACCTGTGGCCTTGACCCAGACAAAGCATTCAATTTCTGCTAGCCTAAGTGTCTTCATCTGTAAAAATGGGAACAATAACAGCAC